AATTCATGTTCTTTGGGAAATGTGCAGGGAATAGATTTTACATGGATGCCCTTTCCCTTGCCAGCTTCTTAAAGATGACCGCACATCTATGCTTTCAGCATGACTTCAGGCCAGCTCTTCACCTATGGGCTGTGTCTAGACTGGCAAGTTTTTCCGCAAAAGCAGCTGCTTTTGCGGAAAAACTTGCCAGTCTAGACACAGCCCATAGGTGAAGAGCTGGCCTGAAGTCATGCTGAAAGCATAGATGTGCGGTCATCTTTAAGAAGCTGGCAAGGGAAAGGGCATCCATGTAAAATCTATTCCCTGCACATTTCCCAAAGAACATGAATTCTCAGATTTGTTTTGCACAAAAAAGCCCTGATTGCGAAAATGGCGATCGGGGCTTTTTTGCGGAAAAGCGCGTCTAGATTGGCACGGATGTTTTTCCGCAAAAAGTGCTTTTGCGGAAAAGTATCTGTGCCAATCTAGACACTCTTTTCCGCAAATGCTTTTAACGGAAAGATTTTCTGTTAAAAGCATTTGCGGAAAATCATACCAGTCTAGACGTAGCCCATGTTTACATAGCTCCCTGTTTCTTGACCTATCTTGCAGGCTTTCCGTTGCCTGGTTATGTCAACTGTGTGATGTCTTTGACGCAGTTTCTCCTTAGTGCTTACCAACTGGAGCCAATGAATGGATTGTGTGTGAACTTGCATTGAACACCCTACATAATGCAAATCTGACACCCTGAACCAACGTCTAAAGAAACACTCAGGCTACGTCTATACTGTAGCCTTCTTGTGGAAAAGCATATGCAATTGAAGCGCTGTGTGGAATATTGCCATACTTCATTTGCATAAGTAATGAGCAGCCGTTTTTGTGCAAGAGACGTTTGTGCAAAAACGAGCAGTGTAGATGGCTCCCTTTTGCGCAAAACCCCTTCTTGCGCAACAGCCATTCTTCCTGAGGAAGAGGGGGATTTTGTGCAAAAAGGAGCCGTCTACATGGCTCGTTTTTGGGCAAAAGCCTCTTGCACAAAACCAGCTGCTCATTACTTATGCAAATGAAGCACGGCGATATTCCACACCATGCCTCATTTGCATATGCTTTGCCGAAAGAAGACTACAGTATAGACTTAGCCAAAGAGTGCTTCTCACTCCAGCAGATAATTTCCCATTCAAGTATTGTCACCGTCTCACCACTGCTGGAGATGAGCGGCATCCACTCTGATTTAATTAGCACTGATGCCACACTCCCATCCCTGTATTTTCTTTCTGTCTTTTCTCTTCAGCATCTGAGAAAGTGAGTTGTAGCTCACAAAAGCTTATGCCCTAATAAATGTGTTAATTTTTAATGTGCTACCAGGATGCCTGCTACATAATGCAGTTGTGGGCATTACAAACTGCTTGCATAATTTGCTTTGTGTAGGACTGCTACCCCCTTACTGTTGGGATGACTACAATAGACACACAAACATTCTCACTGTCTCCTATTAGGCATGGGATAATCCAGCTAATGCCAGGAAAACTCTTCCCTTTTAGTCTAGTGTGGCTTCAGACAGCATGATTCCCTGTGACTCTTCAGAAACTGGGGGGATGAAGGGAGGGACAGAGACAGTATTTACGCCACATTCTGAAATGAATTGGTGCTCAGGAAACCTGGTGGGCTGCCATTCCAGCTTTCCCAAATTGGCTCCTTAGAAACCAAGGGCCAAAATCCAAATTCCTGACCTAATCACAACCACTGGACTCATTAGCTTCAACAATGACTGTCTGTTTGTCAGGCCAATGAAATTGACCGTTACGATCTAACTTCCTGCTACTCTTTCCGTACGTTGCTGCTTGGGCAGCGTTTTTTTAACTGGCCTTTTTATCCAAAGTGAACTATGAGGGATGTTGCCCATTTATTACACATGAAGCCTCTTCTAAAGCTGGACACCCTGGATCTTGCTGTTGAAACACTTAGGACAAGCTTAGCCTTGATGTAAGAATCAGCAACTATTGATGTCAAGCTTACTACACCAGGACTGTTCTGGGTGCTAGCCCAGGCATCGCTCGTTACAATTCACACAGCATCACTTCACAAATACATGGGCAGGGAACACTTCTCTCCATGAAGCTCCCTCTTTTTTAAGTTCTTTACCTCTGAGAATTGTTGCTTTAGCACCTGGGTCTATTTGTTATTAGAATTTGTCCCCGCATGATAAAGTTTATAACAAATTTGAAAATGTCAAACTAATTTGCATTCTGTATGTTTTGTTTCTGCTGTGAAGTTTTTTAGTGTTTGTTTCCCCTCCCCTTTCTTCCCCCTTTTCAGCACAGGAAAAGAGAAGGGGGAAAGGAAAAACCCACCATAATTTTTTGTAAGTTTTAATTTTTTGCAGGGGAGGGGAAGAAGAAAAGGGGTTTTTCTCAATAAAAATGTTGGTGAAATTCTGTAATTTCCCCCAAAAGACCATTCTTTTAAACAGCAAAAATTAATCTGAAAAATTTCAACCAATTCTACATGTGACATTCGAGAGCCTGGACTTCAGAGCTCTTTTCATGCATGATGTGTATAGACTATGACACCACTGGAATAGGAACAGACTAATGAATAACACGAGAGATTGTGCATGTCAGCTCTCAGCCCGCACGCAGGCCAGGTTGCTAAATTCAAGATTGGTGAGTCATTGCAAAATTCTATATTAAATATCTGATATGTACATAATGCATGTGTATCTCTTTATACAGTTTAATTTCATAGGGGATCATTTATATTTAAAAACATTTTAACACTTGGAAAAACACCATGCCATGTCAAGTTCTTCTGAAAGACTGACACAGTGTTGAGCTATCATCAAGATTTTGAAAGCAAAATATTTTATTTTCCGGGTAATGTTGATATATAGATAAGGGCCTTTGTAGTCACAGGCAAAACAAATCCACGATCCTTCATAAGATCAATGTACAATGTTCCCAAATATACAAAACAGTCAAATACAGTAAATAGGTGATCAGCACACACAATGCTTGAAAGTGCGAAGGACAGCAGGGAAATGTGAACTGCGCTTTAAAAAAAATAACCAAAAAACACTAACCTTTAAGAGTAGTCCATTCTATCTGACTTCTAAAATCCACACCAACGGGGCTATGTCTACACTAGCGGCTTCTTGCACTAGAACATCTTGCGCAAGGGTTCTTGTGCCAGAAATCTTGAGCAAGAAAACGTCCCCACTGCCATGTGCGCGCTGTGCTTTTGCGCAAGAGCTCCCATGGCAATGTGGACGCTCTCTTGCGCAAGAAAGCTCCGACGGCCATTTTAGCCATAGGGCTTTCTTGCGCAAGAAATCCCTGCCGAGCGTCCACACTGCCCTCTTGTGCAAGAGCTCCTGCGCAAGAGGGCATACGCCTGTTAAAAAAGAGTGTAGCTCTTGCGCAAGAAGCCCTCTCTTACCACGCCGTACTGTCAATTTCCTTGCGTAAGAGTGGGTGGGCAGTGTAGACGCTCTGCGGATTCTTGCGCAAGAACAGCCATACTTGCGCAAGAAGCCGCGAGTGTAGACATAGCCCAATAGTTTTCAGTGGGCACGAACTTTCAGAAGAGCAGAGCAAGTGTTGATGCTGGGTTGTATGCAACCATCTCTGAAACATAAATGCCTGTTCATTTTAGCTGAGCAAAGTTCACAGGGCAAACTGTAACGCAGTAACACTGCTCATTGAGTTAATCACAATACTAAAAAAGCCCAGGAAGATCAGACTCAGTAACAGAACACCCATTCCACCTTTTTTCTGATACAGCACAATCTTCAGTTATGTCTCAGCTGGCTCTTTTTCTACATACCAACTGCTAGCTACAGTTCACTGTGATCCAAATGCATGGGGCTAAGGGCTAGCCAGGCATGTCTGGCCTCACACTGAAATAAGCGGTTTTTACCCGCAGTCCCTTTCTGCTAGAACTTGGATGAACTGGGGTATTACATCATATTGGTCACTTATGTTACCCAGGATGATGATAATTCACTACAGCGTTTTTCTATACTTGAAAGAAGGTCCTCAGCAGCTATAAACTGGTAAAGCTCCACAGCAGACATGGGAGCTACCCAGATTTACAACAGCTGAACGTATGCCCCATGTGTTGTAATATTCCAAGAAAGAAACCCACATAGAGCCATCAGGAAACTCACAAACCCACTGATAGGCTGTAGGCTGAGTAGTTCAACTCAAGCTCTGTGTTGCTGAGTCTGCCTCCTCCTTACAGGGAGGGAGGGGGAGGTTCAGTGAAGCGGGAGGGAGTCTAATGGGTAAACATTAAAACAGAGTGAAAATAAGAGGAGTCTGCGGAGAAGAGGGAAGAAAAAGCTAATGAAAAATACAATACAGACAGGATGCCCACTTACAGCTTCCTAGATTTTGTGAAGCATTTCCTACCTCTAAACCAGGGTTTCCCAACCTATGGGTCAGGACCCAAATATGGGTCACCATTACATTTCAAAAGGGTCACCAAGTGTTCCCCCCAGGTGGCTCTGTCTCCTCTCCTCCCCCCATTTTTGAATTGCCTTGGGTCACCAAGTCTTCCTGAGTTGTCAAAATAGGTCCCCATCTGGAAAAGGTTGGGAACCGCTGTAAAAACACAGCACATGCTACTCTTTAGCTAGGGGGGGAAATCCAACCCTTTAAAAAAATGCTGGTGGCAGGAAAACCATCTGCATTTGAATTACAAGGCAAAGCAGTTCATGAATTTAAACCATTTTGCGGCCTCACTGTCCCTGTTTCAGAGAGGCTCACAGAATCAGAAACCTCTAGAGGCTCTCCCAGCCCTAGATCTATTGAACACTTTGCTGTCAACCTTTGCTGAAACTCTTGAGTAGCACCCCGAGCATCCTTTTACTCAGCTCTCCTGTGATGTGCATTTCAGCTAACCTGAAACTCACATGGGTTTGTTCCCTTTTCTCTGGCTGTTTGGTAAATAGAATTGAAGTCCTTAAATCTAGGGGCACAGCCCAACCAAGCTTCTCCGAAATGTTCATTGCCAGTGAACAGGAAATCCCCAGCACCTTTCTTCACTTTGCACTGCAGCAGGGTTTTTATGGGACCTCGCCATTCACCAGTAGCTTCATCTGGTCGGAAAATTCGGTTTTTCTGCCTGTAGACTTTCTGGACACTGACTTCAATCCAGGACATGTGATTTTCAGGGTCATGGGAAACATTCTGGATAGCTCCTCTCACCACTAGATGGGAAGACGACATGAAGACAGAGTTGGTTATGGCACAGCTATCTCGTGAAAATTTCAACTACCAGATGCTGATGTGGCTCATTCAACAAACTACATTATCTGAATGCTCAGTGCTTGCTCTCTTATTAGCGTTCATAATGGCTCCTGCAGGGTTCCTTGCTAGAAGGAATATTTTTCTGGTATTACAAAGCACCTTTTATACAGATGGTTCCAAATTCCTATATAAACAATTGCCTGTTTGAGAGCAGGGCTTACTGCTGCTGACATGTAGCCACTTCTGGGCTACAACACAGAAGCTGATTGATAGCGTGCACCAACACACAATCCTAGACTCATAGAATCCTAGAACTAGAAGGAACCTCGAGACCCTCGTAGCAGGACCAAGCGTCATCTAGACCATTCCTGACTGGTGTTTGTCTAACCTGCTCTTAAATATCTCCAGTGATGGAGATTCCACTACCTCCCTAGGCAATTTATACCAGTGTTTAACCACCCTGACAGGACACTTTTCCTAATGTCCAACCTAAACCTCCCATGCTGCAATTTAAGTCCATTGCTTCTTGACCTATAATCAGGCATTAAGGAGAATAATTTCCTTATGAGAGTCTGGTTCAAGGGTGCCCTGTTTTCAGTCTCTGTCCCCAGTGAATGATCATCACCCCAATTCCCCACTATACCTTTTGTACACCAGTTGAAATACTGTTGCAAGCAGTAATAGGGTCAGAAGTCAGGACTCAGAACAGGGCTCTGGCTAAACTATAATTTCTTGTGTTACTGCCAGTGGTAGATTTGCATTGATAGACACCAGTGCAAATACAACTGAAATGTTTCCCTCTGAGACCCCCCAGGGAAGGGCTTTGCAGACCTCCGATGCTCCATCTGTCATAAATTGAGAACCATATGTTAGGTCATTGATTTTATCCTTTAGAATTCCATTTTGATTGCTACTGTACTATGTTACAGGTTTCTTAAACAAACACCATAACTACTAAAGCACATCAGAAAATACTTGAAACTAGACATTTATGTCATTCATTCAATATAACTGGACAGACATCAGACTTGAAACAAAATTTCCCCCTTATCACAATTGGATCAGGAGACTTGTTTTGACAAAAGTTTGATGTGACTTAATCAAAATCAATTAGCAGCCATGTTCTACCTGCGTAAGGCCGCGAGGGCACTCAATTAAAAAAAATATTGCCTAATATGAAAATTTCCTATAGAAAAAATAAAATCAAAAGCTAGTGGACAGGACAGACATTTTAGGGTCAGCTGATATAAATCGATAGCCCCAGTAAAGTAAATGGAAGTATGCCAGTTGAGGATCTAGTCTAGTGTAAATTAGGTCTTCAAGTCAAAATAAAACAGGGAACAGCTATTCCTGGAGCCCTATTTTGGGATGTGGCTGTGGGTATCCATGGCTCATTTTTGCGGCTACAGATGCCAATACACATTTTGTATTTAGAACCCTGCAATTCTGCAGATATGCACTTTTTAGCTGAGGATAATTTTTGCAGTTGTAGATGCAGATACAAATGTTGCATCCACGCAGGGCTCTAAGTTATTACAATGGTTTGTGTTCTGTTGGACACAGTTGGTGATTTCCAGGGGAGCTTCCTGTGGATGCAGGGATGCTAGTGGACTGGAGTGCAGAATTGGAAACTTAGGTCTAGACTATGCTAGAAAATCGTACCACAAAAACTCAGCCTGGTGGGCAGCCACACCTAATTTTGTCTCCTACTGACAAAACCCTCCATTTTTCCCGGCATACTTATTCATTCCTGTTTTTTCAGAGCAACAGAAGCCTTTATGCCTCATTTAAATCATGTCATTTGCACACAAATCCATCCTCCCATAAAAGCTGGTATAGCTGATTTGGGAAATAAACATGAAATAAAGGGCTACGGAAGTGTAAACATTTGTGGCCACAGCATGTGGAAGGTCACCCATTGCACAGCAGCAAAACTCAGGTCTGTTGTTCGCCAGTGTAAAAGTCCGCCCTCCGGCCCCCGCAACAATGGGACCTGACCATTCTTATTACATTTCTTCAAGAACAAATTCAATTTGAATCCAGAATACAGGGAATACTCAAGAGTGACCCTCACCCATTTTACCAACAGCCCCTGAGCAAATGAGAGGTTACACATTTAGCTGGAAATCTGCAAAATATCAGCCATGTAGCTCTTTCCTTTGGGCATAATGGTCTCATTAGGGTAAGGGGCACAAAGAGCTTATTTCTGAAAAGCCCACGAACCTCCTTAGCAAATTTCATTTCCAAGGGAGGCAAGGGCTCAGCACAACAGATGTCTCGGCTTTGCTCTTCATCTCCTTCTTTGTGTGAGCATCTTTAATCAGATGCAGTCAAGTCTATTGACAAGCTATAATGCACTTGTTCCTGTTGCTCCAAGTTGCTCCTGCCTGGCTCATGGTTTAGTGACTGAAGACCTCTGCCTTCAGAGGCACCATAAAGCCCCCATTCACTCCCGGTGTCATTTACACTTTCATTAGCAGCTATTTTCTCTAATCAAAATAGTCGATGATAGCGATTTGTGAGCTTAGGGCAAGGAAGTCAGGTCATAAATAGAGTCCGTTAAAAGGGCTATTGCTTCTGGTCTGTTGATGCTATGAGTATAAATGCCCCCCATTGTGTGCCCTGGGCCTCCACATCTGTCAGTCTCTGCGGCTGTAGGGCTGCGCAGAGGGAGAGCAGTTTGCATGGGAACTGATAACTTCATCAAGTAGAAACAATGAGGTTGATTGCATCAATTAGTTCAAACAAAGAAGAAAGATGACTGGCACAGGAATACATGTTGGCTAGACTCACTTTTGTACTAGTCTATCAGGTATATATATTACTAATACTGTGCGATCAGAACAAACCCTAGAATGAATGTAGTTATGTTCATCTCAAGATTCCTTGCACTAATTTCATTTATAAGTAGCCATAAGGAGTAGATTTTTATCAGTAAGGATTGGTCAATGTCCTCACAAACTCACAATGGACAGCATGATCATCAACATGTACAGAGAGAAAAAAGTTTTTAAAAAAACCCAGCCTGAGAACTTATTAGTTTGATGTAAGTATTTTTTTTATATTCCGACATATGATAGACAATTTGTGCCTGAGAACTTATTAGTTTGATGTAAGGATTTTTTTTTATATTCCGACATATGATAGGCAATTTATGTTTTAATAGTTAGAAAGCTTTATCTTTTGAATCTCAATAGCTACTTATCATTACATCATTTCCCACATCTGTGAAAGTTTAAGTTGATAAAAGATACTTAAATTGATAAAAATTGAAAAATCTTAACTATAAACATTGATAGTATTTGCTGAAATGATGAAAATATAAAAGTCTAATTCTGCCAATCTTAGATATAGGATATCCATCGATATATAGATAGAGATAGATAGAGATATAGCCTAGTTATAAGCAGATTTAACTGTATTCACTTTAGGGATACTTGTACGACTTTAAATTGACCAGTGTAATTGATATGGTACAATTTTTTAGTATAGAGGGGAAAAAATCAGTGCAATAAAACTTAAAAAAGCATGTTATAGAGAAGAGACAATACTGAGAAGTAATAAGATCAAGAGAGATTTTGCAAGATGAAATGAAGGGGATAACCCTTTGCTACAGCATCATGTTAACTGTTTCCCATATTTATTACATACAACTAGGTTTAAGTTACAAACAATTTACTCCATCAGAAACCAGAACTACAAAGTGCTTAAGTCATGTTAACTGTTTCCCATATTTATTACTTTACCACCTATTAGAGCATTTGTTTTCTCAAAGGCATGTGTAATGCTGTGACAGAAAGACGGTGTCATTAATAAAAAGTAAATCTTTTCATACAACTAGGTTCATACAAACAAGGATGTGTCTACACTGCACCCATAGCTCGAAATAAGTTACGCAATTTGAGCTATGCAAATAGCATAGCTTATTTCAAGTGTATTTCAAAATAGCTTATTTTGAAATTTGGTGCTGTCTACAAAGTGCCAAATTTTGAAATCGAGCACTATTTCGAAACGTCCCTTAATCCGCGTGGAACAAGATTTATAGGGATATCAGAATAGCGAGCCTGTTATTTCGAAAGCTGTTTCAAAAAATGGGCTTGTTTAAAAAGATGCGGAATAGCTATTTCTGGATACTGGAAATATCCCAAAATAGCACCGCTATCTAGTCACACTCCAATGGTGTGTCTAAACTACATGGCTCTGTCGACGGAGCCATGTAGATTAGGCTGATCGGCAGCTCTGCCGATCAGCTGTTTGTCGGCAGAGCGGGTCAGTCTAGATGGTCCCCTGTTGACAGAAAACCTTTTTGTCGACCGCCCCGTTATGCCTCGTGGGATGAGGTTTACCGGGGCGGTCGACAAAAGGGTTTTCTGTCGACAGGGGAACGTCTAGACTGACCCGCTCTGCCGACAAAGAGCTGATCGGCAGAGCGGGGCAGCCATTTAAATTTAAATCGCAGCTTCATTTCCCTCTGCCGATCAGCCTAATCTACATGGCTCCATCAACGGAGCCATGTAGTTTAGACACACCCCAAGTGATTCCCTCAGAACGTGTGTGTGTGTGTGTGAGAGAGAGAGAGAGTGCGTGCTCTCGTGCTAAGTTTAGTAAACTCCATTGAGAGCACCATATGAAAAAAACTAGAATAAATGGTATCATGAGCTTTTGTGGGCAAAACGCACTTCATCAGATCATCTTTTTTTTTGTGATCTGATGGAAGGCAGTGGAAATGGGGCAGCGGTGGGTTGCCATTGACTTCAATGGATGCGGGATTAGGGCCATTAAAATAGCTTTGTGGGGTTGCAGCTATAATTAGACTCATTACTGGAAAGTTTGATGGAGGGTATAATGTACTGCCCGGGCTTAAATTCTCAGAGTATTTCCTGGAGCCCCCTACACACTACAAAAGCTGCAGGGGATTTGATAGTATCTACGAGAACTGCACTCGGGACAACTCCATCTGAATTGAAATCCTCTCAACAGCCACATAGTACGACATAGTCAGAAACAGTCCCTGTAAGAATTTATCTATCATCACCACAGCATTTTAAAGATGTGATCAGTTTGGAAACAGCCAGCCAGCATGAATAGGTTTAAAATTCTTCATATCTGTGCAATTAGATGAAATGTAAGTAAAGAAAATTTCTGCTGCATAAGTGGCATGTGTGTAAGTGTGTAAAATTATCAGGACATGAAAGATACGGGAACAGTAACAAAATGATTCCAGCAAAAAACTTCAGGTCAAAGAGGGACTGTGTGCGGTGTATGTGGAAAGAAAAAAAAATGGCTTTGCCTTTCTGCCTACCTAGATTCATTGTGTTTGCTCAGCAGAACTGACTTATCCCATCTCATTATAAATCTTTTTTTTTTCATTCTTTGACACAAGCTAGTGACGTTTTGAGACTGGAGAGCAAGAAGATTGAGGCATTTAAAGAAGAGGCAAGTAAAGGGGAAATAATCAGTGCATAATTAGAAGCAGAATCATAAAATGGCAAGGGACCTTGAGAGGTCATCAAGTCCAGTTCCCTGCCCTCATGGCAGGGTCCATGTTTTTCTGTAAGTCTGCTTACCAAAATCACTGCTGCAAATGGCCATCAGAAGCTCCGTGTTGTCACAGGGGCGGCACATTGCTAAAGAAGCAAAGAATCAGTTACTGATGAATAAAATAATGATTGTGAACAGACTGGTGAGTGTGTGAGGATGACAGCCTGATCCATTGATTTTAATGGACTTTGGATCAGTCTCTTAAACAATATTCTTACTTTCTTTACTTCAGTTCAATTGGTTTTGGAGATATAGCAGAAAACTTTCGTACTTGCTGCCATATACTTTACTCATCCATCTACTTTGAACCCTGAAAAATGTCAAGAATTCCAGGTCGGATTCTTGTTTAATTTCCAAAGTGAATTTCATTGGAAATCTTACAATGTAGCACCAACAGTTCATTGCAACAGTTACAATACCCTGTATTTCTTAGCCTCTTCCATCCATTGCATGACATTATATTCATTGCTGGGAATGCTGCAGAAGCACTCTGGTAAGAGGCGGTGGGAGAGAGACCGTTGCTCTGAAATCCTGGAACATTTTTATAATCAGGATTCTGAGAGTTTCCAGACACTGTCTGAAATTAACAACCTAAATCTCCCAGAGAGAAGTGACTTGCTCACAGCCACACAATGAATGAGTAGCCCAGCCAAAAATAGAACACAGAATTCTTGACTCATAGTCTGATGCTTCAAGCACAGAGCAAAAGTCTTTCTTGCTGACTTTGTTACATTCCTTCTGGTCTTAGTCTAGGGCAGTGATATCCTGGGAGTTCATATGGCTATTTCCTCACTGTTGAAAGTCACAAATCTGAGGCAAGAATAATCAGAAGGTCAGAATCAAGGAGGATGTCTCTAATGACTCTGGGGCCACCATCCTTCAATGCCAAGTAAAGCATTAGGGTTGGGATTTCCAAATGGCCATAAAGGGCATTAGTTGCTCCACTACTATCTGAAGTCAATGAGAGTTGAGGGATTAATTCTGGAAATCCCCATCTGTGGCTCAAACCCTGTTTCCCTCAGGGGCTTTCCACTTCCTCGATAATGCATGGGTTTATTCAGGAATAGTTCTGATTTTGTATTTGTAATTTACACATACAGGCCAAGAGGTTCACACACCTGCTTATTTCTACCTAATTCTAATTTACTCCTGCCTTTTGAACATACCCCTGGGAAATCAGGTAGTTTCTGTCCCAAATAAAGATGATTCCATTATGTACAGTCCAACACAGGGGAGAGGCCAGTGAAAAAGTCCTTTTTATTCAACCTCCTTCCCCCCACTTTCCTACAGCCAGCCCCAGCCCTGAGCCAATGCCATACAGGCAGGGGTGGATATAGGGCAGGGTGAGCGGGGCGGCTGCCCCGGGCCCTGCGCTTCAAGAAGCCCCACACATGCGCCGTGGCAAAGGGGGGCCCCACAAAATTGTGCTGCCCTGGGCCCTGCGAAATGGTCATCTGCCCCTGCCTACAGGTGGACGACGCTGTCCGAGTGCCAGCCCTTGGCTAACAGATCTGAGCAGCTCTGAACGCTCCTTTCCGTGGTTGTGTCACAGCCGCGATAGCTGGGCACCAATCCCATGGAACGGGGAAGACGCCCTGTCACTTTCAGTGGGCCTTGGTGACAGCGCTCCCGCAGGGTGCAAACGGGAAAAGAGCCAAGGCAAACATTTCAAAAGCACTTGAAGGACTTGGGAGCCTAACTCCCCTTTACAAAAGATACTCAGCTCCAGATCCTCAAAAGGATCCTCCAGGTCCTAATCTAGCCTTTGTGGATCTGGACTCCTGTCATTAGGAGTCTACATCCCACTGGCTTTCAGGGAGATCTGGGCTCCTAAAGTGCCTAAAGTCTTTTTTGAAAAGGGGACTCAGGAACCTAGTCACTTAGATGATGCTTTTGCATACATGATCTCCCCCCCGCTCCATTTCCCAGTGAATCTTGCTTAGGTGTCCAGAATTAAATTAGATGACAAATATGGGGACAGGAAAGAATTCCCTCTCATGGCACTGGGAGCATTTCCTGCTTTTGTAGCACGGAGCAGGCATACCTAGAGAGACTCTCCTGCTGTATCCCTCTCCCATAATCCACGTGCTGCATTAACAAGCGGATGGGAGTTGGGGTTCCTGGGGAAGAGATGATCCTTCTCCTGCTAAGAGACACTGCAGCCCCATTTATGAAATTGGCTCCCTATTAATGAAGCCCTGCACCAGAGTGGGAAACCTATGGAAGTAGATTGCATGGGTGGACCCGCACAGATCCATTTGCAGGATGGATCAGGGCCCACGGGAGATCTCAGCCTTACCTTCCACAAGGGCCATTTTCTGGACATCAGGGCCGGCGGCGGTGCTCTGGTTGCTCAGCAGTTCGTATTGGAAGCTGGCCGTCCTGCGGCTGATGTCTCTCTGCGGGCTGGCCTGCAGGAAAAGGGCGACCCGCTGTGGCGTTTGGGCGCTGAAGCAGGCCACAGGGCGCAACCGTGCCGCCTCGGCTTCGCTCACCACCAGGTGCAGCTGGCCAGCGCGCTCCACATAGATGCTGGCACCTTGGAAATCACGCGCCGGCTTGATGCAGACGGTGGTGTGTCTGCTGCTCGACAGGTTGGGCTCCAGGACGACGCGCAGGGCTCGTGCGGGGTACAGCCATTCCAGGGAGCCCTCGGTGCAGCGTAGGTGGACCTGCTCCACTGTGCGGGAATGCGGCTCCCAGCTTAAGCCACTGCCAAGACAAGGCCAGGAAGACAGCCTTAATAATCATCAAAACCTCGGCAGCACAGGCTGGTGGCAGTTCCTGAGGCCATTCCCTGCTCTGCCACCAACCTGCTGTGTAATCTGGGGTAACCCATTTAATGACTGTGCCTCTGTTTCCCTTCCCACCTTTGGCCTTGCATATTAACATCGCCAGTTCTTCCAGATAGGGACTGTCTTTTTAAGTGTGCAGTGCCCTCTTCTCAGCTGGGCTTCAGAACACAGGTAAGAAATAACAATGCCCTTTTTTTGCACATGAAAGAGGAAAAGAACTGCCCCTCAGGAGTCAGAGACAGCCTGGATGATCTGTAAATCTCTTCTAGCTCCTGGCACCTGGATTGTTCTGTCTTTTCTCCCCGTTTTCAAGAGGAGCCAGCAATGTGCATCGAAAGTCCTGTTACAGCAACTACTGAACGTAGATTCATTGTCTGTATTGATTATGATTATAATCGAA